TTTAATAATCAAGTTTTTGTCACCATTACTGAACAAGCTCTGATTAGGCATTATACACAACAATGTTCTACAACAATGTTACGTTATATCTCAAGGTTTATATATATATATATATATATATATTCAAATAGTATGTAACAAGAAATGTTTCAGATTAAATGAAATCACGCATTCAGTTATTATTGGAAATAAAAATAGGGATGAAAATATTATTTTGCATTTTAATCGAATTTTGTGTAAAAATGTCTAACAATTTTTGGTAGTCTGATTCAATAATTTGGTAGTCAAAGTTAAAAGTCACCGTTAATATTACTTCTGCTTTATGCTGGAAGTGAAAAACATACTGCATGCTAGTTTATTTTATAGTAAATAGCGGGCCACTACAATCCTCAAAAGTTTATGCTCATCTAAAGTGCTTTAATAAAGATTAATGAGGTTAATTAATGAAGTATTAATTATTAATTAATGAAATAATTAAGTCATACCTCTCCATTATAGAAGCAGAAGATTATGGCCACCAGGAGGCCCTGCAGAAACACAAAACAAGCGCTTAAGAAAACACACTGCTAGACCAGCTTATTACTGTTAACTAAAATCAAAACCATTAGAAAGATTTTTGTAATTTGAAATAAAATAAACATTAACTAAATATGAAAGTCCATTGAATTGAAAAGTGTCATGGAATACAAAAAAAAAATACAAAAAACGTAATTGAAACTTTTCATCTCACAATTATGAGTTTATATACATAGCATCCGAATTGTGAGATATAAACTCAGAATTGCGAGAACAAAGTTAGAATTGTGAGAAAAGCCATAATTTTTATATTTCATTTTTTATTTCATTTTTTTATTCAGTGGTGGAAACATATGGAGTCAATTCAATACCACATATATTCACAAAATAAATTGAAGTATTGCAAAAGAAAATAAGGTTTTACAAATGAAAGTGAGAAAATAAATTCATGTGCTTTTTGCAAACAAAAATAAAGAATTGCAAAATATAAATGAAACAGAGCAAAAGCAATCATTTTGCAACACATTTTTTCATGGCCATAGCTACTAATTTATTTTGTATTTATTTTGTGTTTCAGTCAAGTGTGAGCTTGCGATACCGTTTTTTTTACCGTATTTTTTATTTTTTTTTAAAGTGTTTTTTCCCCATTTTTGAACTGTCACCAATGATGTATAATGCAATACAGATTGCTAAAGTCAACAGATGTTACTAAAAGAGCTACCAATCTCTGTGTGAAAATAATATATTGATGCTGCCATCTTTCTGAAGTCATTTTTACCCCCGT